CTTATGCAGTATTGAGCTTAGCTACCATTTTATTACAGAATATGAGTGCTTTTTTAAATCATTATTTTAATTAATGAAATTGAATGCTCTTCATTTTGACACTGAGATATAAAAATGTAAAATGTACTTGTGGAATTCTGTGTGGGTGTTTGACAAGTTTCCTTTTAAACCCTTCCTCTGAAAACTGGCTTCTCCACCTCCCCCTCCCCCCAAACACCTTCCTTTATGCCACTTATACACGAACATTTAATACAATCTTAAAACCTGCATTACAATACCAGATCACTATTCAGTGTACAATCATAAGTTTGATGAGCAAGTGGCCATTCTGCACAACAACGGGCAAAAATATGTCCGAGCAGAATCGCTTGTCGAATGTTTCTACACCTCCTGTGTGATCTATCAATGTTCAGCAAGAAGTCTTTGTTAGTGGGATAAGATGAATATTTTTAATAAAAAATTCAAATCTTTGCTCATCTGTTGCAGCATCAGGGAGCCCAGCAACTGAATATTGCAATCTGACCTTACAAATCCTTTACTGATAAACTGTAGATGTGTTCTTTGAAGACAGAGTACTATACTCACAATTCAAACTTATGTGTGATTGTTTCTAAACTTTGAGTGTGCACCTCACATTATAGAAGAGGAGTTTGTCTCTGCTGGGAGATATATGTAGAGATTGGCTTAAATAGAGCACATTTCAATCTCAAGACCATTATTATAGGCAGTCTAACATTTTCCTTATGATCGGTTGGTCCTGTTGATCTCAATTCCTCAGAATTGTAGAGTTTAGCAGTTACCATTGTGAGATTTTAGAACTGTAGAAGTATACAGTATAGAAGACCATTCAGCCCATCACGTCTGTGCATGCGCATTGAAAGAGCAATCCTTTCAGTCCAATTGACCTGCCTTTTCTCTTTCCTCTTAAACAGGGTCTCCTTGGAGCTCAAATGGCTCCAGGATGACATGTTTGGCAATAGAATGTCAGAATTTAGCCCACCCTCTGTTGCGGTCTTGGTATTCCAGTTCCTGAGCCAGGAAGGTCCGCAATATTTCAGGTCACTGCTGATGACAGCACAGCCAGTCTGGCTCATTGGTAGGACTTGGAAGGGCAGACCAGTCACTGGGGGCAGAGACTCGTCTCACTCAGCTGCCATTAACCCTGCAAGACAAAACCCTAATGGGTAGAGTGGCCCTAGCTGGACAAGCAGCAGGAAAGCTTGCAAGACAATGTTCTCAATTACATTTATGGAGTTTTAGCTGGTTAAATGCCAGGAGAACCCAAACATACACTCTGGAATCCCTAAGCCTTGGCTGTTGCCAATCTGCCCCTAATACTTCCCAAAATTAGGAAAGCATGATGCATCCCTCCAGGAAGAGAATATGCATTCCATAACATAACATGTAGGAGCAGGAGTAGGCCATTCGGCCCTTCGAGCCTGCCCTGCCATTCAATCAAGGCTGATCTTCTAATCTAACTCCAGCTAATAACCTGACCCTGCCTTATCCCCATATCCCTTAATCCCTTTTGCAATAAGAAATCTATCTATCTCAGTCTTGAATATGTTCAAGGACTGAGCATCAACAGCCCTTTGTGGTAGTGAGTTCCATACAGTCACCACCCTTTGAGTGAAGAAGTTCTTCCTCAACTCAGTGCGAAAGGGCTGCCTCTGATTTTAAGGTTGTGACCTCTGGTTTTAGTTTCTCCAACTGGGGAAACAATCTCCCACTATTTACTCTCTCATGTCCTTTGATGATCTTATAGTCTTCTATAAGATCCCCTCTAATTCTTCTATATTCTGAAGAATATAGGCCCAAATTATTAAGTTCTATTTCCTCATCTAAATCATTTCTATAGACTGTAAATAATTAAGGACCAAACACTGATCCTTGTGGCACTCCGCTAGTCACATTCTGCCAATCTGAGAAGGACCTGTTTATCCCTATTCTCTGTTTTCTTCCTATTAGCCACTCTCCAATCCATGCTAATATATTGCCTTTAATTCCATGGGGTTTAATCTTATGCAACAACCTTTTACGTGGCAAATCCAAATTCACCCCATCTAACCTGCTAGTTACTTCCTCAAAAAACTCAATAAGATTTGTTAAGCATGATTTCCCTTTCGTAAAGCCATGTTGACTCTGCCTAATCATGTTATGATTTTCTAAGTGCCCCACGACGGCATCCCTAATTAAGGACTCTAGAATTTTCCCTATCACCGATGTCAGACTAACTGGTCTATAGTTCCCCATTTTTTGTCTCCCACCCTTCTTAAATATTGGTGTTACGTTTGCGATCTTCCAATCACTGGGAAACCATTCCAGAATCCAGGGAATTTTGGAAGATCAAAAACAAAGCATCCACTATCTCTCCAGCCACCTCTTTTAAAACCCTAGGATGCAGGCCATCAGCTCCAAGGGATTTATCGGTTTTTAATCCCATCAATTTCTCTAGTACTCGTGCTTTACTAATGTTCATTTCTTTAAATTCCTCACTAACATTAGCCACCAGGTTCCCCTCTATTTTCGGTAAGTTATCAGTGTCCTCTAACGTGAAGACAAAGGCAAAATATTTGTTTAATGACTGCCATTTCTTTATACCCCATTATAATTGCTCCTGTCTCTGCCTGCAATGGACCCACATTCACTTTTGATAGTCTCTTCCTCTTTATTTACTTGTAAAAATTCTTATAATCTGTCTTTATATTCCTAGTTAGTTTACTCTCATATTCCATTTTCTCCCTCTTAATCAGTTTCTTGGTTTTCCTTTGCTGATCTCTAAAGCACTCCCAATCCTCAGGTTTACTGCTATTTTTGTCAGTGTTATATGCCTCTTTTAATTTTATACTGTCCCTAACTTCTCTATTTAGCCAAGGTTGAACCACTTTTCCAGTGGTATTTTTTTTCAAGGGAATATGTGATTGCTGGGAATTATGTACTATATCTTTAAACATTTGCCATTGCTGGTCTACCATCATTTTTTAATCTAATTTTCCAGTCTATTTTAGCCAAATCTTCTCTCATACCTGCAAAGTTGGCTTTATTTAGATTTAAGACTCTTGCTTCAGATTCAAATATAATATATAAATATATAAATATAAAAATAACTTAATGTTGAATTCCATCATGTTATGGTCACTCTGCCCTGGAGGAGCCTTAACTTCCAGATTGCTGATTAGCCCTATTTCATTACACAAAACAAGATCTAGGATAGCCTGTTCCTGGTTGGTCCTCAGCATATTGTTCTAGAAAACTATCTCTAATGCATTCTATAAGCTCATCCTCTAATTTACTTTTGCCAATTTGGTTTTCCCATTCTATATGAAGATTGAAATCACTCACTATTAGTGTATTCCCTTGCTATATGCTTCTCTAATTTCCTGATTAATACCCTGCCCAATACTGTAACTGCTGTTTGGGGGTCTATAAACTACTCCCACTTGTGTTTTCTGACCCTTGTTGTTTCTCACCTCCACCTATACTGACTCTACATCCTGATTTTCTGATTTAAAATCCTTTCTCTCTACTGTTTTTATCTCATCCTTTATTAGCAAGGCCCCCCCCCCCCCCCCCCACCCCTTCGTTTTCCACATTGCTTACCTTTCCTATACGTCGAATACCCTGGAAAGTTTAGCTCCCACCCTTGGTCTCCCTGTAATCATGTCTCAGTAATAGCCACCAGATTGTACCCATTTATGTCTATCTGTGCACTTAATTTGTCTATCTTGTTACAAATGCTTCGTGCATTCAGATATAGCTCCTTTAATTTTGACTTACTATTTCCCCTACTCGTTAATGCCCTTATTTTTTTTGTTGAGCTTTTTGTCCCTACTTGACACACTCTGTTCTTTATTTCCCAAGTTGCTTCTCTGCTCTACAGCCATGACTGTTCCTTGCAATGTCGGTTTACGGTTAACATTGAACCTCCTTATATACATTACAGAAAAATCGCCTTGAGACATTACGACCTTAGCGATTTTTCCGCAATACATTTGCAGAGGATGAATGAATATGAGTGCTATTTTCTCGATACATTATCAGTGTGAAAATAGATCCCATAGGGATTCGCTTTACAAAAAAAGGCAGAAATACTACTGCAATATTCTTGTGCTTCTACCACAGTGCTTCGGAGTAGCAAGGAAGTCCATTGACCAGCTGGAATGGGAATTGGAAAAAGGAGACAGACAGGAAAGTAGCAGTGAAATCATTTGGTTACTGATGTGGCCTCAGGACATGTCTGATGTACTGAACCACAAAGGTTGATGATATCATATTGTTGCACAAATCACATGAGAAATATTGCACTCAGTGTACACACTTCTACCTCAATTATCCAATTACAGTCATTTTGTTGTTGTTGCCTTAGAACAGAAACTCTCCCATTGGACAAGTAAAGCTTATGCAGTTGTAAAATGTAATTGTTATAAGCAACTGCTAATGTAAGAATATACATAAAAAGCAACTTTTGAAGCAATCAAAATGTCCAAAGCTTTGGACAAATTATTAATAATAATCCTTGCAAAGAGCTTCACAGTCTCAAAATGCTTCACAGAATATACTGTAAAGTGTATTTTGTGGGCAAAACGCAGCAGTCAATTGCTCACAGCAGTGTCCCAGAAACAGTCATGGATTGAGTGACCAAATTATTATATAATTTTTGGGGGGAGGGATGATTACCCCCAGCCAGCAATTCCGGCAATCGGCTAACAACTGTGTTTCTCCTTAGAAGCTAAGAAAACAGCGGCATGAGGAGTAAGAAACCTACCTAAGGTTTGGCTCCCGGCCGTGAATTATTTCCGGGCCCTCTCGTTTGCGAGGCGAGCACACAAACCACTACGCTACAGGACTTCACAATTGCATTTATGTAGTGCCTTTCATGTCGGGAGGATATCCCAGCAGCAGTTTGCTCTAACTGAGTGCAAAACTCAAATAATTATTCCAGCTCATCTTATTTCTCAATGTGCAGCCCAACAGAGCAATCATAATTCCTATTTACTCACCATAATTTGTTTTTATGGCCTTTGGCAAAGCTGAGCTGTATTGAATTTCATGTTGATACTCAGATAGGAACATGGATCCTTCCTGCTGGAATTTCATTCTTTTAATGCATTTCGAATCAGATGACCTTTGATGGCCTTTTTGCTCTCTTTTCTCAACTTCATCATCGAGACTGTGAACAGGCGAAGCTAGCAAATTCCTATTGCACATAATGTCCTCGTGAGCCTCGATGGACATCTTTTCTAAAATAGGGATAACTGAATCCTTTAATTTTCTTTTATTTCTGGTTTTATTCTCGTTGAAGTCTGAAGAAACAAATTTAAGATGTTTGACACCAACACTGCTGAACACTGGCTCACAATCCTGTTTCCTGTCTGCATTCATCAATTTTACACAGTTCTTCTGTTCCACTAACTTGGAAATCTTTGTTGAACACTGTACAGAAGCTAAGTCAAAAGCTTCCTTTAACACACGTGATGAAACATGAAATGAACTATTTACATCAGACTCCAATTTATCAGTAGATTTTTTCAATGGATAAATAACCTTTCTCAACAAATTAATAGTCTTGTGTTTCTGATGGTTTGCTTTTCTTGCTTCAAGATGACCATTGTGCGGAGTTCCAGCAGGACTTTTTAAGCTTGTGATGTTGCAACATCTCTCTGCAATACGGATTTCAGCTAACTTCTTGTTCTGGGTAGTGCTAACCTCATTCTTTTGATGGAACGGTGCAGGCTGGTTGAATTCAGGTTTCAGATGATTTGTGTTTGTGCCATTTGGAACAAAGTGTTTTTCAGACTGACAACCCAAACCAATGGAGCCAACATTCCTCCGATGTTTCTCCTGGCGATCAGATTCCCTACAGGTTCTTTCATTTTCACGGTGATCTCTCAAGTTGACCAATGCTGTCCATTGCTGCCTGTTACTTGGACAAAGAGTTTTCTTTGCTTTGAGAATCTTCCTTGGAGTAACATTTGAAATCTCCATCTCTGGCTTCCTAAAACAGTAGAAACACAAATACCATAAATTGGTGAATAAGACCACAAATATTGATAAAAGAATTTGGCTTTTTTTTTTAAAACTAGCACAACATTTTGACCTTTGCAATCATGAAGTAAATTGAACCTAAACATAACCACACCAGCTGTTGGGCAGTACCTTTTGGGCTCAAGGCAGACGACCCACAATAGGCAGACTAGTGACGCTATCAATTGTCGAAAACGTGATTCCCCATTCATAAATAGTCCTAAAATAACAAAGCCAATGGATCCTTGCCTAATCTTCTCAACAGTAGACTTCCTGCTTCCTTCCTCGGTGCAGGCAACTGGACAAGTAACTATCTTGTAACCTGAGACGATTCCACTCATTCCATTTCTTGTTCCCTAAAGCAACACTCCACATTAGGGTTAGGGTTCTCCACAACACTCACTTAAATTTATACAACGTAGTTTAATCAATCCTGGCCATTTGCCTCCCCAGGTGACATTGCTGTGGTTCTACAGCACAGGGATCATCGTATTCAGTGAAGTTCTTTGATCATCTCAATACTCATCTTGGAACATTTAACTCTGTGAGAAAAATAGCTTACTGCAAAGTTTTGAGGTGAAGTATATCTTAATATTTGCCATAACCACTGATGAGCCTCAGAATAAGTTCATTTTATAGTCTATTCACGCTCACGTGGAGTCCTGTAGCTCAGTGGTTAGAGCACTCGCATTGCAAACGAGAGACCTTGATTCAATTCCCTGCAGGATGAAATATTCAGCAAATTTCCTTACTCCACACACATTTACCAAGCAGTAAGTAGGAACCGGGTTGTTATTTGATTGGCGGATCACTTTTCTGGGGGTAATAATTCCTTCAAAAAAAAACAATAAATTGCTCACTTAATTCATGACTGTTTGTGGGACACTGTTGTGCGCAATTGGCTGCTGCATTTCTCCCACAAAATATACAGTCAATACACTTTAACAGTATATTCTGTGAAGCGCTTTGATACGACTTGAAGACGTGATAAGATACAATACCAAACGCAAGGATTATTATCTATTCTAATAAAGACGAAGTGTCTGTCTGCGTGTCAGCGAATCTAACAATCGTGCAATAACCGATTGACGCAGAGATATGATTTACAACTCATCAAAAAGGTCTTGCCCAGTGTGCCCATATGCCCAGTGTCATGGGTAATTTTTTTGGAGATCTCCTATCGTTGACGAGCTAATATTAAAAAATGCTTTAATTATAAAAACACCCAAAATATGAGCTATGCGTGGTATTCTGCAAGTGTATAGCACAGACCAAAGCCACACAGTTCAGAGAGATACATCAATATTCTGCAACAAATCTACAGCACTTTATTCTGGTTGTCATGGGAACTCGAGTCCTCCCATGTGGGACAGACAGAGAGAAACTGATAGTGAGAGAGAGGACAGAGTGTTACTGGGAGAGACGATATATTATAAAGTGTAGTGACTGTGTGTTTTGTTGGCGAGAGAGAAAGACAAAGAGAAACTCAGAGATAGAGAAACTGGGAGAGAAATGCAGAGAGGAAGACTGGGAGAGAGAAAATATATTAAAGGAGTCCCTCCCACTGAGTCCTTCCATAGGAATAGTCCCAGTTGAGTATAGATAAGGACAACATGTCTATCTGTGTGTCAATCTACATTCCATATTGGATCGTTTGGTTGCAAGCGAAGCTGCAATGGGTACAGCTAGTTATATATGTTATTATTTTGGAGTGTCACTGACAGTATAGAACCTGGGAAAGATGCAGAATTGTTCTGGTGGTGATTATGTAGAATTGTCTGCATCTATTTGGGAAATCAAATGTTTTTACTCTAATTATCAAAATTCTTACAGTACAGCCATACATTGAAAAAAATCCGGATTCCAAGCTCTATGAACAGTACAACAGCCAACTCTTTTGCAAAGGCAACAATTAATCACTCGAGATATATATCCGCACAGTGCTATGCAAAAGTAAAGTTAATCCTCTTTTCATTAACTAGTGGAATACGATCCAAACAAACAGGAACCATCTGTAGAAGGATGTCAGACATTTGAACCATGAAGAGGAATGGCAAAGTTGGAGCTGCAGAAGATTAACTCAAAGCAAGAGACAGAAATTGACTTGTACAGTAAACTCCTCATAACTCCACCATGGCTTAATTTGTCACTGCCACTTAAGTCAGCATGCTGCCAATAATCCAGTCGTATTTATTTATGCATTTATACACATACCTAACTTGCCACTCTGGATAACTCGTTGTTGAGCCCTTTTCCTTCGGAGTTATCAGGAGTTTATCAGACTTACACATGCTGAAGACACAGTACTGCAATATACTGCAATATATGATGGGCAACCTTAAATATACTCATTCTTATTAGTTAAAAACATAAAAAATCTGAAATTACAAATAAGCCCAGAAAATAGTGCAGCTAATTTTGTGAATAAGATCAACACTATTAAACAGTTCACCAAGTCATATTTACAGTTCAAACTTTCAATTAGTCTTTGTGCTGTTTTTAAACAAAACTTTGACTATGGTTTAGAAACATTCTTTAAGGTGAAATTATTCTTTTTTGAAGGTCAAATTTAGAAATTACTACTTTACCTTTGTGTTGAAAACATTTAGCTTTTCACTGGTAACATACTGTAATTGATCCCAGTAGTCTACAAGTCTAAGAGGAAAGATGCAGTGCTATTTTCTTCCAATTACTGCAGGATCAAACATATTGTACAGAACCAATTAGAACTGGCCAACAAAACAATCTACCATTGGAGCACAAAGACACTTTATATTCTGTCACTCTATTTCCTCTCCAGCTGACTGATTTCAGAATCTTTCACGTGCTCAAATACTGGAGGGATTGCTGTGTACCACAACTCCACCACAACTGATTAAAAACACTTCTGCTTGCAAAGTGAAATTGCAAGGTGTTGCAGGTTAATTTATGCAAAACACTTATTAAACTACACATATTAAAATGCGAACACATAAATGAGCATGAAGCAGAGCACTTTAAAAGAACCCACACCCTTCTAGAAATTATTATTTAATGGCTATATACCAACCATACTGGGTCAACAAAATTCACCAACTGCTGAGCAAACCATTTTTAAAAAATCAGTTTGGTTTAAACGGGTGACAAAGATAAAGTTCATTTATTTTCTCCTGGATCCTAAGACATATCCAGTAACGTTTAAGTTCCAAGAGAAAATAAATTGCAATATTTTCAGCACTCCCAAGTGTTGGGGTCAGTATCTAAATAAGTAACCGCTGAGGAGCAGTTTCTCTGCCTGAAACCAGGAATGTCAGCGCATTTAACTAATATTTCATTTTTACAGATAACTGTTTCTCTTAACAAAACTAAATTGGTCATCAAAAAGTATTTATTAAAAGATCAGTTTAGCAGAATTCAAATCTGCTTTGTTTAAAATTCACCAACTGCTGAGCAATCCATTTTTTAAAAAGAAAATTGGTTTGGTTACAAAGAGTGGCACAGATAAAGTTCATTTAAATTCTCCGAGACCAGAGGCCTCATGCAAGACAGAACCAGTAACATTTAAAAAAAACTTTCCTGTAAAATTAGTGTCACTTTTCAGAGCTTCTACATCCAGATCCATACACAACAAAACTCCATTGCATGTATTCAGTCTAACACTGCAAAGGCTGGATGGGGCCGGTTCTAAAGTCTTAATACAGACAGACAGGTCCCCAAGGAGCTCATATTTAGGGAGATTCATTACAGTGGACTTACACTGCTTAGCTTAAACTTTATGATCACAATCATATCTATGCTCCTGTAAAAAGGCTTAGTTTTCACTTAGGCATATTACAAAAACAACAACAAATGGCATTTATATAGCGCCTTTCATGTCAGGAGAACGTCCCAATCAAATGAGAACCTTCCAATTACCAGCTAGGACACGTGTAGTCTGAACAGTGGTGCGCTATGACCAACAATAGAAAAAGCCTTCTTTGAATAATACTGTCAGAAAAGATTGTTCATGCAAATGAGTGTAGTCCGGCTTCCTGCAAGAAGCACTCACAATCCCATCAATTAGTGTTTCTACATTTTATGATGTGTATCGAGACATCAATATCTATAAAGTGCAAAACACAATAATTATTATGAGAAATAATTACAAATACTTGGGTACATGCTCAAATCATATCAGAAAAGCTAAGACACTAGCATTGGTGAACATTTCATATTCCCAGAACAAGATTTTTGTATATACATGACACACACACACACAATTACGGAGGAATCAGAACACTCAAGAGGGAAGGGTATTAGCAATGCAATACTGCATCATTAGATCTGGGTCAGGTTGAAAATGTTCTAGTTTAATAAAAATGTGGAGAGCTCATCGGGCTGGTGGTATTAAAAGCAATGGCTCTAGGTGGTGGCAATCCTGGAGTAAATTAGCTGCAAGAGGAAAAGTCAGCAGACCCTTTGGTATGAAAAACAGATGCTTCCAGACAACTTCCACCAACTTCTGCAGGAGTTGCAAATATTAAAATAATGAAAGGCAGTCACAAAAAGGAAAACAGGAGAAGCCCATTACACTGGTTCCACCAAGTTTTTAGAAATCAGCAGATCCTTTAATAGCAATGCCCCACCCTTCACCATACCCCCTTAATACATCTGTATACCTTCAGTTGATATGTTGTTGAAACATGGATAGATTTCAGCTTTCTCATTTCCAAGTATGGGAAAACAAACCAAGTAATCGTGCTCATCTGTTTTTATCTGAAATAAAATGAACTAGATGTTTTCATCTTAACTCGATCCATAAACTCATTTCTCCTCTATGTACAATCTGTTTCCAATCAAAAAGTACATAATACAAGATACTGAAGAAAATATATTCCAGAAAAGTAATCTAATCTCTAAGGTTCCTTCTTATAAAATACCAACTGCAAAACAAGTGGTGCATAAAATAACTAGCCTGTAACAAAGTGTCGATATAAGGTAATTTCTGTAACTAACATTTGACTTGTCTAATAATCTGTTGCCATTGGCATATACTTTAGGCAAACGTGGTCCAAACTTTTGGCTGCCGCGGGCTGGATTCCCTATTTGAGAAAGGTCACAGGACACATAAGCAATATTTTGTGTTTCCCTGAAGGACATTTCAAAGTGCTTGACACTGCCTGCTAGGCTCCTGAAATGAGGGTAATAGCTGAGAGAAGTGGGATGGGGAAGGGAAAAGATGACCGAAAGTGTAGTCAATGAGTTGGGTCCTGTCATACCTTGAAAGAGGGTTGGGAGAGAGCAAGTCAAAGGGACTCCAGGAATGGAACTCCAGAGAGCCGGGGCAAAATGCCGATGGTGGGGCAGATGGGGATATGGATGAATATGAAACAAGCTGGAGTTTGCTCTGCAAAGGGAATGGTTGGGTTGGGAGTTTGTAGAGGTAGAGTGGGGAGGGCGGGGAAATGAAAATAGTCAATTCACTTTACAATGTATTCCATAAAGCGTTTTGAGACATCTCGAAGATGTGCTAGTGCACTATATCAAATGCAAGGATTATTATTATACTCTTTCCCCCATCACACTCTGTTCTCTACCTCTCAATCAACCACTCTCTCCCCATCTGTCAATCACTCTCTCTCCTCCTCTCTTCCCCTCAATCCTCTAATCAGCCAAGCGGATCACTCTCTGCAGCGGCAGGAGCCAGCAGTTGCTAAGGATGGGGCTCAAAATAGACTCTCTTGCCTTCTTGATACACTGCAGAAATGGCCGGTATTATTTTCGCTCTCTGTGCTGTGTCCTCCCAACCGCCGGCTCCTCCCACAGCCATGGGAGGACATTCGCCAGGGAGGGAGGGAAAGTTGGAATGTTGGAAATTATTTCAAGCCGGATAAAATCACCCGCCTGGCCAGATGTGGCCCTTGGGCCACCAGTTGGACCACGTTGCTTTAGGCTAGAGGTTCTCAAACTATGGGGCACGTCTCCCTGGGGAGACACGTGCGTGCACCTGGGGAGACACCAGTTGCACACCTCCCAACAGTCCCGGGTTTGGCGGGACTGGACCCACGTCCCAGCATAGCTCCTCCCACGACAACCAAAATTCATGACAATGGGGAACTGTCATAATCTATAATTGTTTGGTGTCAACATAAAGGTGCTTTATGAAATAAAATTTATACTTTTGACACTCATCCTCTTATTATAACTATATTTATCAAAGCCCTTCTACTTCATGGCTCAGATTCTTGCAAAGTAAGGAATTTACAGTTCTTTTGTGTCGTCTTAGTAAACTTTCGGGGTGGGGGCACAATTGTGTTTAGGGAGGAGACTCACTATGACAACATTTGCAAACCTCTGCTTTAGATGATTCGGAGGCTCATGCGGAGTACACACTGGCATCAATCTGATGGCTGTTCCCATGCTACAAAAGGTTTGCGTAATAGTAATAATAACAACCTCTGGAATTCCATCCCCCAATCACTCCACCTCGCCCCCTCCTTTGCCTCCTTCAAGTCCCGCCTCAAGACCCTCCTCTTCGACCATGCCATCGGCCACCCTCCTTCCCCTCCCCTCCATTCTCCCTCCCTGACCCCAGCTCGGGTCTGAAATGCTGTATACTGTCCAGTGCCTTGGGACATCCTCCTGACGTGAAAGGTGCTATACAAATGTAATCTTGTTGTTGTTGATACAGCGCCCTTCAAGTCAGGAGGATATCTCAAAGCACTTCACAGGATTTTACTGTAAAGTCTCTCCAGGTAGGGTGCCCCATAGTTTGAGAACCTCTAGCCTAAAGCCCCATGGTTCAACTGGTGGCCCAAGGGCCACATCTTGCCTGGGGTGATTTTATCTGACCCGACATTTTTTAGGCAAACACGGCAGCCAATAATCAAAGCAATGTCCCACAAATAGCCATGAAATTAAATTCTGTCTACTAATTTAGCTTAGTCTACTGAAGCTTGTCTACGCAACATTTGACATGGTGCCTGCTTTTATTGTAGATATTATTCAGTAATTTTTTTGGGGTCAGCCGAGTGTCTGACACATGCAGAAACCTATCACCATGTTTAAGGGTATCCAAACCAAGCTGAGAAATCCCAGAGTTAGATTGCTGGAATGGAATAAGTACTCTCTCCCAGGAAGGACGCATCCTGCTTACCTAATTCCTGAGAGTATTAGGAACAGGCTGGCAATAGCCAAGGCTTGGGGACCCCAGATTGTGCATTGGGGTAACTGCTCGAGTCTAACCAGCTAAAACCGCATAGTTTGCCATTTATATTGCTGTCCGACACACTTCCAGCTGCTGTCCAGCTAGGACCACCCTACCCATTAGGGCTTTCCCTTTAGTGTTAACAGGAGCTGAGTGAGATGACTCCATGCTCCCAGTGTCTGGTCTGCCCTTTAAAGGTGCAGCCGATGAGCCAGTGTTGTCATCAGCAGTGCCCTGGAATACTGCGGGCCCGTCTGGCTCAGAAATGGGACTAACAAGACCACCACATGGTGCTGGCTCAATTCTGACATTCCGTTGCCAGGTATGTCACCTTGGAGCCAGTTTCACATCAACCTGGCCTGAGCATATCCAGAATGAAAGCTCACACTGAATGTCAAGAGCAATATGAAATTTCACAACTTGCTTCTTCAATAAACCCAATATAGAACACAACTTGAAAAGCCTAGCACCTCCACAGTAATAAAAGCTAAATATTTTCAATTAACACAGGCTCAAAGACTAACCATCCAACATGCCCTCATTGTCAGCAGATAGCAAATCACCCTCATTCTTCACTTCCAAGGTACAGATT